GTGCTCTAGCCCCCGATCATCTTTGTGGCCCTCCTCTGGACTTGCAGAGGTCTATGTCCTTCTTATGTTGGGGGCCCCAAGGCTGGATGCAGTACTGCAGGTGGGGTCTCACCAGAGCAGAGCAGAGGGGCAGAATTCCCCTCCCTCAACCTGCTGGCCATGCTGCTTTTGATACAGCCCAGGATACAGTTGGCTTTCTGGAGCACACATTGCCGGGTCATATTGAGCTTCTCATCAACCAACACCCCCAAGTCCTTCTCCTCAGGGCTGCTCTCAGTCCACTCAGTCTGTGTGCTCGGGATTGCCCCAACCCATGTGCAGGACCTTGCACTTGGCCTTGTTGAATTTCATGAAGTTTGCACAGGCCCACCTTTCAAGCCTGTCAAATATGCCAGGGACAGTTCTCTGGCACCAAGGCCAGCTGATATGGATCAGCCTGTCTATAAAATTAAATTCTCTTGCCCACCATTTCAGGGTGGCCTCATCCAAACTGCCAATTGAGAATATTCTCTGACTGTATTAGCTCCCAGACCATTTGAGAATTGTCCTGGACTTTGTTATTGAGCCTGGACCACAGCTTGTGATGGACTGACAGTTAAACAGTAGAGGTGATCAAGTTTCAGTGCCAAGGCTTGTTATTTCTAACATAGATATATTTTCCAATATAGATGTATCCATCAACTTTAATGGACTCTTGACCCAGGCTCTGCATCTGATCTCTTTCTCCTTGAAGTCAACTGATAATAATAACTATTATTATTATTGTTATTGCTGTTATTGTTGTTGTTATTATTATTATAGTTGTATCATTACTATTATAGTTATTATTGTAATTATAATTAAAATGTCAAGCTCACCTTGACTTTTGGGAGGAGGGAGAGGGAATCTCTCTCTCTCTCTCTCGGGAGACTTCCTTCCCTCTGCCCCAAATCTCTCCACCTAGTTTCTCGATCGTGCCTTAATATCTGCAGTAGACTCTCCACGATCTCTAGTTTCCTTGCTACTAAAGAGGAGACACTTGCTCTCCTACAGAGTCTAGGCATGTTCTGCGGACATATGTTGGCACTGATGGTGAAAGGATCTGGGATCCTGACCCTGGTGTCCCTGCTGACTAAGGTATCACGAGCAACGCCTGCTTGCCCGCTGTGCCCACGTTTAGAAGAGCTGCAAGGCACTGAGCAACTGAGCCGCTCCCCATTGAGTGCTGTCAGCAGGGAATTGCATACCAGCCTGCTCCATCCCAGCATGAGACTTCAGAGTAGTGACCCAACAGCATGCTCTTCTTGCCCATCAGGAGGAAGGCAGGTCTCCTCGCTCCAGCCCTTGCTAGGCTACAGGCATGCTCGTCCGTCCCCACCTCCCAGCTGCAAAGCTATGCCAGGAAAGCCTATTTTACTTCCAGCACAAATCACCAGGGGAGCAGCAGGCTGCTCCTCTCTCCTCCTCCTCCACACTGACACCCACCCGCAGGAACATAACTCGCCGTGTCCAGGGTTGCACCCTAAGGCAGGGGCTCCCTCACAGCAAGTCAGGTTGGACCGTGTGGGATATAAACACCATGTTCTGTGCTGTGTTAGCTGGATCCAAATTACCTGCAAAAAGACATTAATTTTTAACCACGCGTGTGTATTTTTGTTTTGTTTTCTTTTCTGTGATTCACCCTAGGGAGTGGGAACTACTTCCTACAACCACATTTTGCAGCAGCCTTCCTTTAAGTGTGAGTTGAGCACAGTTTTACCGTGTAGGGCCTGGGGTGTGGAGTCAGGGCATTTCATGCCAACATTTTTCCTGTTTGTTGGCAGTTTTAAAGAAGCTGGAGAGAGAAAAAAAAATATTTTGGGCTTACAGAAGCCATGTCAAGACTCACCTAAACTTGTCTGGACTCAGCTGGAGCCAGGGAGCTCACAGAAAGCGACCTCTGACGTGAAAACAGGAGTGACTTGGTGGGTTGTTCCTGCAGCGAGTTTCGGTCACAGTGTTGAATGCCCATTTAAGGAAGGAGGTGGATAAGAGCACGGATGAATGCATTGGTGCCTTTGACGTGAATTTCAAACATAATGCTGCCTTTCAGTCTTTCCCACTCCCAAAAAAAAAGAAAAAGAACCAAGATAAGAACTGAAGCTTAAATCCTTGAGCTAGCTCTTGAGACTGCAGGTATCCTTAAACCCTTAGTTGATCTCCCCACTGTCTGTGGTTCAGGCTAGTATTTCCCATCAGCTGCAGTATAAACAGTTTCTGGTTTGTAATGCATAGTAACACCCAGAAAAAAACCCACCAAAACCCCAAACTAAAAAACTGAGTTAAAGGAAACTTATGCTCCATTTATTTTCTGTTTGTAAACACCTTTAAGCGAACATTAGAGATGAATGAATAGCTTTTCTACTTTCATTTCAAGACAATACCAAACCCCCAGCCGCTTCACTGTGATTGCAGATTAGAGGAGTTTATATATATATAAATTATATATATATATGAGATACTAAATGACACAAAACACTGGGAGAGGGAATGAAATGATACTGGCTCAGAATAAAGTGTTGATTCTTTATTCAAATGCAAAAGCCCTCTCCTGGGATGCTCTAATTTAAATTTCAGTCTTGGAAAAAACAATGTCTTTCAGTCGGGTGTCTGTATACTGCTATATTTCAGTATGTAGACTTCATAGATAGTGAAGGGTAAGAACACAGGTATGGCAGGATAAAGAAATGCAGTAAAGCCTGTAAGTGCTGTCCTTGTGTAGTGGAATGAAACTTTGTTTTTAGAGGAGCTCAAAGGTGTTAATCAGAAATCTTTCTGCTGGACAGGAAGCATTTGCAGCCTCTACTGTTACCAGTGCACTGCAATGAAGATTTTGGGGCTAAGGCATTGGCTTTCTGAATCCATAAAATTCCTGTCTCTGCCACACACTTCCAATGTGACACCAGAGAAGTAATTTACTCTGTTAATTTCTCAGTTTTCCATCTGTAAACTGGAGATTGAAAGAAAAGGATTTTTTTTTTATTAGTTTGGTGCTGCTGACTGCTTGGAAGTGATGTCTGTTCCATATTTCCGTACATGCTGCTCTCATCCAAGGAATCAAAGTGCCATTATAAGGTAAATTAGTAGTCATTTGGTATAGTGCTCCTTCCTATTCATAACAGACACTAAGTATTGCCACCTGCATTAAAAAGGTAGAAAATCCTGTGAACAGAAAATAACATGCCATTCCTAGACATAGGCTAAGGTGTGAATTACCTCTGGGACTATCATTGGGTGTTTTCATAGCATTAATTTTCTGATTTAAAATTTTCTGGGGTTTTTTTGTTTTGTTTTTTTTTTTACATTCTTTTGCATGTGGAAGAAATGGAAGCAGACAACACCCAGGAACATGCTTGTATGTGAGACCCTATAACATCTCTGTTCAGGTGCAGCCCTCAGATGGAGAAATTGAGAAGGAACTTCCTGTACAGCCAAAAATCATTTTCCTGGACAGCAAGGTAGGATTTGGCCCTCTGTGGGTGGATATTTCTATTAATTCTGTACAATTTTGACATTTTCAAGCAATTCAAAAGCCAAGACTGACCTAAATGTGGCATAGGACAGCTCTATAAATAAATATGGCAAAGGGTAGCTCTATAAAGAAGCAATCATGGGCATTCTGGGAACATCTTCCAGGATGGATTCTGTTCACATTTTTCAGTTTTTTCCTGCGAGGGTTACATTTGTGCTGTAGAATTGATTGTGTGCAGTTTTCTGATCTCTGCTCCTAAAGCTTAGAGGATATCATTGAGGAATGTGGGAACAGCAGCACAATCATGAAGGCTGGCAATGGGGTATCCTGGTTTGCCCGGGCAAGTCCACACCATGCAGAGCAGTGGTGTGTAGAGATTGTCATGTTTAAAACAAGCTTGGATGTCTCTGTGATGTGATTTAGCACTGCCAGAGGTACTAACACAAGTCCTAGAAGCAGCAGACTAGGTCCAATGAGTCCTTCGATGCTGGTGGATTGTTGGACTAGATTTAGTCCCAAAGTTAGGTGAAATCTGCATAGCATGGCTTCGTGCTGTGTTTCTATTTCCTTTATATTTTCATGTCCTCTCTCCTGTTTTCCAACTATTTTTTCTTATGGAATCATTTTCATTTTCCTGGACAGGCAATAGTATAGCCACAGAATAACTAGACCCAGGCACCTTGAATACTGTGTTCAGTTTTGGGCCCCTCACTACAAGAAAGACATTGAGGTGTTAAAGCATGTCCAGAGAAGGGCAATGAGGCTGGTGAAGGGTCTGGAGAACAAGTCTTCTGAGGAGCGGCTGAGGGAGCTGGGGTTGTTTAGCCTGGAGAAAAGGAGGCTGAGGGGAGACCTCATTGCTCTCTACAACTACCTGAAAGGAGGTTGTAGCGAGGTGGGGGTCGGTCTCTTCTCCCAAGGAACAAGCAATAGGACGAGAGGAAACAACCTCAAGTTGCGCGAGGGGAGGTTTAGATTGGATATGAGGAAAAATTTCTTCACTGAAAGGGTTGTCAAGCATTGGACCAGGCTGCCCTGGGAAGTGGTTGAGTCACCATCCCTGGAAATATTTAAAAGACATGTAGATGTGGTGCTTAGGGACATGGTTTAGTGGTGGACTCGGCAGTGTTAGGTTTGCAGTTGTACTCAATGATCTTAAGGGCCTTTTCCAACCTAAACGATTCTATGATTCTACGATTACAGTGATGACCCTGGAGCATGGTGTCAAATCCAAGCTTGGACAAGCTTTGTGGACGTTATTTCTGGATGCAAAGTTGCTTTGTAATAAAGACAGCTCTGTATATCCATTAGTCATGAGATTGGTTTTACAACTATGAGGCACAAAACTTTCAGCTTCTTTCTGTTGACTTCAGTTC